GCCCTTTATGTATTCCCACCTTAAAGATAAATTACAGTAATCTCCGAGCTGGATATTATTATTTGAAATAAGATTAGCTTAAATTAATATACCATGGGAACAACCCTGAATTAAACTAACTGAATTAAAATTTATACAAAGACATCTATAAAGTCACCCACTTTTGTGTCACACTGTTGAACGTTTCAAAACAACCATATGCATATCTGCACTTACTAAATACGTAGACCCGTTGAAGGGGTAGGTGGGGGGTTTATAAACTGTGAATACATATGTATATGTCATATGGTCTCACTGATCGCCTCTATCATCTGCAAGTTTCAACAGAACTTTTCGCCACAAGTTATGAAATAAAAAAATTATCTTGAATTCAAAAGAAACAAAAACACAAATATATCGGCTTACAGTATACATTTTATAAACCTGATCATCTTTTACTGTATTACATTGTTAAAAGGGAAGCATGGTCGTATTTCCTTCCGCAAATAAATAAGAAAATTAATAGATATAACATGTTAAACTTCTATTGACATAAGATTTTTAAGGATCATCTAAAGAGAGACTATTTTGAAAGAATCGTATGTAAGTAGAAGAGCCAGCGAGGATTTTTTTAATTCGTAATGGTTAGAATAAATAAAATGCTTATTTGACTAGCTTAAGTCATCGGCTGGCTTCCTCGGAAAAGAACAATAGAGCGTAAGGTAAGCAATTATGGGCTAAAATTGAACTATGTCACCTAAAACATTTTTGTTCTTTTACCAAGAACACCAGTAACTCAGCATTTAAAAAACATTTTATGTTTTCCCACCTAAAAAGTAATTTTTTTGATCGTTCACTTTTGCCCCCTTTCCTTAACAGGAACTAGTTCCATCGTTCCCTTTAGCTCAATGTTTAATTTTATCTAAATAGTTTATTCTTACTAGTTCTTTGTCCTTTTAAGGGCAAAGCTAAATTAATGCACTACAGTTTTTCGTGAGATCCGTCGGAATCATTTATAGAAACGCAATCTGTAGTTGTGGTTCAAAACCAACTGGTTCCTTTGAACTAGTTCATTCCAGTACGACAAAACTCTAGACTGAATTAATTGCGAAAAGAGTAAGCAACAGGTCAGTCGGGTTGTATTTTATTGTATGTGCCGAAGAGCAACAAATATATTATTTGTTAAGGTTGCTATCAGACGCTAAGGGTTTTATCTGTTTGCTGTCACTTTTATTACCCATGTGTATTTCTATATGCATGTCTTCGTCGGAAAAGAACAAAGGAGCGTAGGGCTAAAATCGAACTATATCAACCTAAAATGCCTTTGTTTTGTCTACGAAGAAGCAAGCGGTTGACTTGAGGTGGAAATACATAATGCTCTTATTTGGTTGGCTTAAGTCATCGGCTGGCTTCTTCGAAAATTAACAAAGAAGCCTAGGGCCAAATTCGAACTAAGTCAACCTAAAACTCCTTTTTCCTTTACCATGGTAGAAGAATATAGGTAGACGCATTGACACAGCTGCTGGGACAATGAACTGTCAAACCAATTTTGGAATTGAAAATGTTGAATGAAAAATTATTTAAATTTGCAAAAATTGTTGAAAAACACGAATTATAATAACCTCCGAATGACGTCGTATAAGAAAACATATTAAAATCTACTTATATTTTAAAGAACATTTACATTTTTTTGACATATCAATGCTCCCAAGTGTTGATGCATCTACCTGTATTCTTCTGCCATGTCCTTTACGAAGAAGCCTACCAAATAAGCGCTTTATATATTCCCACCTTTTTATGTATTTTTATCTTAGCACTTTATGTTCGGAATTTTTATATTAATTATAGTGGCATTTTTACAAAATTTTGTATCTTCCTAAGTACACAGAGCTTCCTGTAATTATAATAAAAAACATTATGTTGCCTTATCATTCCGAAATTTTGCATATTATAAAGGTTATAGAAATTCAAGAGAAGAAATTTGTTTTGCATGTTGTCATGTCGTTTCTGCTCTAATAATTTTTGGATACAAGGTTGTAAGTGAAATTTTTGGTTCGAGATAATCTCCAAATACATTCCAATCTAGTTTTGAATTAATATGAATCCTTAGTAAAAATCACAAAATGCAGGTATCAAATTTACAGCTAAGTATGCCTTTTCACTCATCATCAATGCCTCATCATCTTATTTAATTCATTTTTTTATTGTTATATTAATTTTTGCTTAGGCCGTAGAAACCCGTTTCCTGAGAGAAGATCTGGTAAACGTAGTCTCTTTGTCGCCACCTTTTAACAAGGCCTATTAATAACAATACATTTTTTTATGATCAAACAAAACAGGTTAATATTTTATCAGTGCACTTATCATGGCCAGGGTGAAGGTTATCATGCACACCAACTTCAATGTCAAGTAGGTATCCGTTATACCAATGAAATTGGCAAAGGGAGAAAACAATGGTATCCTATACACATACAAATGTATGTTTGGGTATTGTGTTTGAAAGACTCAGTCGATGTAGACATGCGAACCAGGCTTAAGGTGCTGCAACATAAAGAGCTTTTTACTGGCTTAAAGGTGGTAATACATAAAGCGCTTTCTAGCTGCCTTCTTCGGAAATAAACAAAGGATCCTAGGGCCAAAATCGAACAAAGTCAACCTAAAACTTATTTGTTCCTTTACGAAGAAGCCAGCCGATTACTTAAGCAAATCAAATATGCGCTTTATGTATTCCCACCCTAAGTCTTAGGATGGCTTTTTCGTAAAAGAACAAAGGAACATAGGGTGAACAAGTATAAATTTTAGGCCAAAATTGTACTGAGTCGACCTAAAACTCCTTCGTTCTTTTACGAAGAAGCCAGCCGATGACTTAAGCCAGACAAAAAAGTCTTTTATGTGTTCTCACCTTTAAAGTTCATCTACTGCCAAAGGATGTCATTAATTATGCATATTTTTGCTGGCAGTCTCATTTTCTGTAACATTGCATAATACAGCAGGAAAATAGAACCTATATATTTTTATGAAAGCTTTTTTTAGAGTTTTGTCATTTCGGAACGAACTAGTTCAAAGGAACCATTCCGCGAAAAAAATAAGTGAAAACGACAACTACAGACTTCGGCTTCATAAACGATTCCGATGTATCTCACGAAAAACCGTGGCACATTTATTTAGCTTTGTCTTTAAAAGGATAAAGAACTAGGAAGAATGAATTATTGAGCTAAAATTAAATATTGAACTATAGGGAATGATGGAACTAGTTCCTTTTAAGGAAAAGGGCCAAAGTGAACGATCAAAGAATGACTATTAACCCTTTTTAGGCGAGAATACATAAAACGCTTTTTTGACTGATTTAAGTCACTGGGGTTCTTAGTAAAAGAACAAAGGAGATAAAGGTTGACTCAGTTCAATTTCGGCCCATAATTTATCGTTGTTTACTCTACGCTACTTTGTTCTTTTACGAAAAAGCCGGCTGATAACTAAAGGTGAGAATACATAAAAGGCTGGAATTGACAATTTAATTCCACTGGGTCCAAATAATACATTAGTTTCTCTTCTACACATAAGATAAAATACAATCAGACAGACCTATTGCTTACTCTTTTCGCCATTATTTCATCTAGGGATTTATCGTACCGGAATAAACTAGTTCAAAGGAACCTGTCGCTGCCGCTACAGATTGCGGTTCTATAAACGATTCCGATGCATCTCTCGAAAAAACGTGGCGCATTTATTTTGCTTTGTCCTTAAAACGACAAAGTACTAGGAAAAATAAACTATTAAGGTAAAATTAAATATTGAACTATAGGGAATGATGGAACTAGTTCCTTTTAAGGAAAGGGGCAAAGATAACGAAAAAAAAGAAATGTTCCCCCATTTAAGGTGAGAACAAATAAAACACATTTTTGACTGATTTAAGTCACCGCTGTTCTTAGTAAAAAAAACGAAGGAGATTAGTTCAACTTCGGCCCATTATTTATACTTGTTTACACTACGCTACTTTGTTCTTTTACGAAGAAGCCAGCCGATGACTAAAGGTGAGAATACATAAAACGCTTTTCTGACTGCCTTAAGTCATCGGCTGACTTCTTCGTATAGGAACAAAGGAGTTTTAGGTTGATTTAGTACGATTTTGGCCCTACGCACCTTTTTTCTTTTCCGAAGAATCCAGCCGATGACTTAAGCCAGTCAAAAAAGCGTTTCATGTGTTCTTACGGAAAAAGGGTGAATAGTTTTTTTTTTGATCGTTCACTTTTGCCCCTTTCCTTAAAAGGAACTAGTTCCATCATTCTCTATAGTTCAATATTTAATTTTAGCTCAATTGTTTATTCTTCCTACTTCTTTGTCTTTTTAAAGACAAAGCAAAATGAATGCGCTACAATTTCGCCTTAAGACCAGAAAAGAACTTGTGCTATGTGTTCTCAACTTTAAAGTATGTTTACAGATCACCCGATTAACTAGTCCTAGTGGCCTTAAATATTCAATTCCATTACATATTTGTCAAATAAACACCTATAAAGTAGGTTAACCCTGACAAAAAAAGCTCTAACGTAAACATGACATTAGAGCTGCAATCACCAGTAAAAGTAAAGGTGAGTATACATAAAACGCTTTTTTGACTGGCTTTTTCGTAGAGGAACAAAGGAGTTTTAGGTTGACTTAGTTAGATTTTGGTCCAATGCTCATTTGTTAATTTCCGAAGAAGCCAGTCGATGACTGAAGCCATCGAAAAAAAAAACATTTTAGGTATTCTCACCTTGAATTATATGCCAAAAATCAAAAAATCGGTAGTACCCGAAATTCTAGAATTTTAAAATATCACACCTACCTTTTAAATTTTATCCAAAAATAAATGAATAAAATACCATCAACTTTTTCTTTTCCAATTATTTATTGTTGTATTTTATTTTTAATAATTTATTATTATTTTCTTTTAATACTGTTACAACAAATTGCTTTTGGGGAACACGGTCATTATAACAACAAAGTTTATAACTCAGTTATTCTATTTATTGGCACACTAAAAGTGTCATCATTTATCAATTTTTATTTCACACATAACTAAAATTTCTAGGTTAGTTAATATCCTAACCTAGAAAATTTCTAACATTTATAGGACAATACTGCTTTGGATTGAGCAAATTTTCTGTTAAACAACAGAGGGATGTATCATCCGGAACTGACCGATCGACCGGTGGGCATTAGTGTTGCACAGTTTAGTATAATTTAATATTTGCAATCTTTTTTTTAAAGAATAACATGGGAAGGTTGTTTTACAAAATAATGGGGGGAATTCAGGATCTGGGATGGGGTTATTTGTTATCATTTCTTTTTTTTTATTATATTCTAGGCCATGGTAGTTTCAAATAAAAGGTACAAAATTTTTGATTTCAATATAAAATACAATACATTATAGGCATATAAAAATATACAATACATACACAAAAATATAGGTTATATAAATACATACATATTAGTAAATGTTCTATAATTTGCTTTATAGTATATGTAAATACACAGTGTATAAATATTACTTCTTGTAGAGAGGATAGTAAAATTTTGATAGATTGATTAGAAAATATCTTTATTTTTGTTGAAATTTCTTTTTGCGGGGTTTCCTTAATTTTTTGATGAACAAAAGTTAGGTTATGGTGTAATATATGTCAAAAATTGATCTCTATTCTATGCACACATGGCATTTGTATTCCCACTCACAAAGTTCGGTGATTTCTTACTCATTATAGATCCATCATCAGATGGAAGAGGTTTTACATATGTTCTGTCACTTTTATTATCCACGTATATCAAAATTATCATTTTACATACGACTCATAATTTTTGCTATCACACATCTGCATATGTTTTTTTTTTTTAAATTTCCTTTGATTACTTCTGATTATATTGTATTTTATACAAATATATTTATACTTTCGCCGCTTTAGCTCTTTAAAAAAATGAGAAAAAAATCAAATCAAATAAGTCGATTTATATAAGTTTTCTTATACGTTGCCAATCGGAGGTTGTTATGATATACATTTTTCAACAATTTTCACAAAATTTGATAATTTTTCATTCAAAATTTTTAATTCCAAAATTGGTTTGACAGTTCTATGTGTCATCAGCTGTCGATGCGACTACGTGAATTCTTTTACCATGACGCGCGCATTACGTTTTTGTTAAGTTGTCAGGCCACACATCAAACTTGCATGCAAAAATCCTCTTAACATATTAATTTAATGAACTTTGTGAGTAGGATAACGCAAAATTTCCCATGTGCAAGCATAGAGAACGTGTAGTTTGAATGTGTCCTGAATAATTTTGATTGATTCTTATTTCACACGATTTCTCTAAGAATATATCTATGATTTGCAAATATTTATTATGTATTTTGCGTGTATGTGTGCGTAAATTCAATATAATTTTCCCATTTTTTTTGTTCTAATTTATAATACATTTATATGTATTTAAATTATTTTTCATATAAGTTATCTATATTAATATTGTAAGTTACAATTTTTGTTATTGTAGGTTAGGTGTTGTAAAACAAGTGTATTTTGAATATTCTTTATTTAATGATTGCATTGCAGAGCATTTGTGATTTGGTTTTTTTTTTCAAAATATATACCAAAATAGAATTGGATAAGGAAAAGTGAGCAAAATGGGTATTAGGATGATTGAATATCCTATCCTAGAATCGGTTTTTTCATTGAATGTCTATGAGTAGACTTAAGGTGAGAATACATAAAACGTTTTTTTACCGTCATCGGATGGTTTCTCCGTATAGGAACAAATGAGGTTTAGGTTGACTTTTTTCGATTTTTACCCTATGCTCCTTTTTTCTTTTCCGAAGAAGCCAGCCGATGAATTAAGCAAGTCAGAAAAGCGTTTTATGTATTCTCACCTTTAATCTTCTTCATATGCCTGCATAGATGTAGCTGTTATTAGTTCCTTGAACCCTTTTTTGTCGATAGTTCCTTCATCAAAAAGCGCCGAGCCCAGGGTACAATTACAGAGGTAATCTCATAAGTCATACGATTACAACATTTTTTATTTGTTGTCCCTTCATTGTCAAATTTATATTTTGTTGTTCCTCCTTAGATATGGACGTACAACTGGCAAAGAGATTTACATTTATTTCCCACTAAATATTTTATCATTATCACTCAATTTATACTTTCTATTAAGAATGAATAAGATCTCAACCAGAGAACTAAAGGTGAGAGTACATTAAAAGATTTTTTGGCAGAACAAAGTATTTTGGGGTTGACTTACTTCGATTTTGACCCTACGCTCCTTTAAGCCAGTCAGAAAAGCGTTTTATGTATTCTCACCTTAACATATTAGCCATGGTAGAATTAAGAAGAAGACAAAGTCAAGCTGTCATATGTTTAACATTTTTTCAAAAATTTGACAACATCTCTTTGTCAAAATGTATATTTGTAAATTCATTGAATACACAGAAATCAGAGATGGGAACCTGTTTTTTATTCAGTGAAATTTGACAAGGTAAATTGCAGAAAATGCAGATATGTATATGCTTTTTTGAAATAACTTTACCTCCTAAATTTTACAATGTATGGAGCAAATATCTGTCTTTTCTGCTCCAATTAACCCAGAAAATATGAGATCATTTATTATTTTTGTTAAGTAAGACACTCGTCATACGCAAATATTTTAGGTTCTGAAAGTAATTTTTATTTGCAAAATGTGAGTAAATTGAGTTCTTGAGGGTTGCCATATTCGATTTAGCAAATGAGACTACCACAATTGTTTTACCATAACAGTACCAATAGGATTGACAAAGAAACCAGGTGAACTAATGAAACTGAATGGAAAAGAGTTTGTTCCTTTTTGATGAACTAATTCGTTTCGGACAAATCAACAAATTTGACATGTCAGCTTCGGGGTTTTATCCTTAAAGTGAAAGTACATAAAAGGCTTTTTTGACTTGCTTAAGTCATCGGCTGGATTTTTCGTAGAGGAACAAACGAGTTTTAGGTTGACTTAGTTCGATTTTGGAGCGTATGACCTTTTTCTTTTTCGAAGAAGCCAGCCGATGACATAAGCCAGTCAAAATAGTGTTTTATGTATTTCCACCTCCAAGGTATAATCGGATAAGATGATTTTTTTCTGACTTAAGACATCAGCTGGACTTTAAGGGAAAATAACAGAGAAATTGGGTATCTGGCTCTAGTACAACTTCTTCTTTTTGGATTCTTCCTTTCACTTTGATATGAATCGATATCAGGGGCTTTCCTCAAATATCAGAAGACTTCCAAGGATTCGAATAATGCTCTAAACGCTTGAGGTAAAAACTGTGTTTCTCGAAATATTTTTTTCGAATCGAATTTGTTTCAAGACTGAAAAAATCCGCCTCTTTTTCGATCGCTTATTTAGTTTTGTCTCTTCTTGAATCTACGCCCATCCTGAATTCTATTTTGGTATATTACAAGTCTATTGACTACTATTTAAAGATAGTGATTGTGGACCATTGCGTTCCTACCGGAATGATTTGTAAAAATCCATTTATATTGACATTTAGAAGTGATTGTTATTGTATTACTTACTCTAATAATTACATCTATAGAAAATATTGTGCTATTTTTATTATTATTATAGGGCGCGAGAGGCGAGAGGAAGGAGTTCAGCTCAGCTACGGCGAAACTTTACTCCCATAGGTGCCTTGCGCCATCTATCGGCTACTCCCTAGACTAAAAGGATTTCCAGTTATTTGTTATTGCTGCTTCTTTTTTCTCTTTTTCTTTGAAAATTTGTTTACAACTAGTCTAGGAAACCATTGGATGGTGTTGTTGAGCACAGTGTTGCCAAAACAAAAACTAAAAAAAAGATCTCTTGTGTTTGTCCTTACATCCGATTGTGGTGATATTCAGTTCTAAGCTATTTAGTATTGCTATAAATTAGTGTTGTATGTTATTCTTGTAAGTCTTCTAAAAATTTTGAATGTGGTGTATTAATTTCTTTGCATTGCGTTGCCATTGCACCGCCTCTCTTCTTTTCTCCAGCTTATTTATTGCAACTCAATGGCCTCCTGTGGTTCACCATCATTTGCTTCATCCTCAAATTTGATTTTATCGTTCTTTTTCTCTTTCACCGATACGCTCTTCTTAACCTTTTCCTCTCTTTTGGCTTCCATTTTGCCATTTGTCTCCGGAGCATCGGTGGTGGAGGCAGCTCTTTTACCACTGCGGAACTTGAAGCGGGCCACCGGTGCGGCGGTGGCGTTATTGGCACAATTACATATCGACTCAAAGAGACGCACCACAAATCCTCGTGCCTTGTTGACCACTTTGCCATTCTTGAAATCTGGTATAGCGAAAGCTTTATTTAGTATTACGATATGCATATTGAGGTTATGTGTAATAAAAGCGTTATTTGTTTACAGTTGATGCAAAAAGAGAGCATAAAAGAGAAGGTGCCATACAAATAAAAGAAGACAAAAAAGACAAAAGAAAATATTAGTTGTATAAATCATGCTAAAGCAATATTATATGTTTAATATATAAATTTTTAATCAAAGAGGAATCGCAAAAGGCGTAGCAACTTTTATCGGTGAGTGATTGCAGACCCTTTATGAACCTAAGAATATTTTTTTAAAACTAAGTATGGAAAACCTAATGTATATTATAGTATCTAATCTAATGGTAAATTGACAATTCCATTGCATAAACGTAAAAAAATCCTCATGAAGGAGGTGAACACTGCAAAAAGTTCTTATGTAAACATGCTATAACCTAGACTTAAGATCATGATAGAAGAATATAGGAAGATGCATCAACGCTTGGGAACATTGATATGTCAAAATTTTGAAAATGTTTTATGAAAAATAAGTGATTTTTTAAAAGTTTTTTGTACGACGCATATCAGTGGTTGTTATAATATGAATTTTTCAACAATTTTTACAAATTTTAATAATTTTTCATTCATTTTCATTTTTTTAATTTCAAAATGGGTTTGACAGTTCATTGTCCCAGCAGCTGTGTCGATGCGACTACCTGTTTTGAAATTGAAAATGTTGAATGAAAAATTATTAAAATTTTTAAAAATTGTTCAAAAGCTCTTATTATAATAACCTCCGAATGACGTCGTAAAAGAAAACATAGAAAAATCTGTTTATTTTTAAAGAAACATTAAAATTTTTTTGACATTTCAATGACGTTGCTGCATCTACCTGTATTCTTCTACTATGATCTTAAGCAGCATCGACGCAGCTGCTGGAACAATGAACTGTCAAGCCAATTTTCAATGAGAAATAATTCAAATTTATAAAAATTTTTGAATAATGCATGCCATAGCAACCTCCGGTTGACGTCTTATAAGAAAGCTTGCATAAATCTACTTATTTTTGAAAAAAATTAAAATTTGTGACATGTAAATGTACCCAAGCGTTGATGCATCAACCTGTGTTCTACCATGAACTATCAAACCAATTTTGAAATTGAAAGTTTTAAAAGAAAAATTATTCAAATTCGTTAAAATTTTTGAAAAAATAGATATTACAACAACCTCCGATAGGTATCGTATAAGAAAATATATAAAAATCTACTAATTAAAAAAGAACGTAGGGACAAAATCGAACTAAGTCAACCTAAAACTCCCTTGTTCCTCTAAGAAGAAGCTAGCCGATAACTTAAATGTTGAAATACATAAAGCGCTTAAGGTGCAAGTACATAACGTGCTTATCTGGCTGGGTTAAGTCATCAGTTGGCTTCTTCGGAAATTAACAAAGGAACCTAGGGCCAAAAACTCCTTTGTTCAACTACGAAGAAGCCAGCTGATGACTTAAGCCAGCCAGATAAGCGCTTTATGTATTTCCACCCTTATTTTCTTGTCTTAAGTAATCGTCTGGCTTCTTCGTTGAGGAACAAAGGAGTTTTAGGTTGACTTAGTTCGATTTTGGCCCTAGGCTACTTTGTTCATTTCCGAAGAAGCCAGCCAAATAAACGCTTTATGTATTCCCACCTTAAGTCAATCAGAAAAGCGTTTTGAGTATTCTCACCTTAATTTTATGTCCCTTCAATGGTAGAATCAAGAAGGTAAAGTTATGCAAACATATGTTTACATTTTTTTTTCAAAATTATTCGTTTGACAACATCTATCTCATTGTCAAAATATGTATTTATAAATCCATTGTAAATACAAAAATCAGAGATGGAAACCTAGTTTTTATGCAGTGAAATTTGACCAGGTAAATAATAGAAAATGAAGAGATGGGTATGTTTACTTGAAATGAATTTAGCTTCTTAATTTGACCATGATCCCTTCATTGTCAAATTTATATTTTGTAGTTCTTCCTTAAATTTGGACGTACAGTTGGCAAGAATTTTTGCTTTTATTTCAGACCGAATAATTCGTTATTTTCACGCGGGAAATGTAGATATGGATAGGCTTTCTTGAAATGAAAATACTTTCTTGATTCTGCCGTGTGTAGATCGTAGAGTTAAGTAAATTATCATTTCCTTTTACCGATAGTGTAACTGCTCAAAAATTTTCGTTTAGAAAACTAGAAAAAAAAAAACGTCAGACGACTTTACTTGTAAATTCTACACAAAAATGACCCTCGTCTTGCTTAAATAGTTAGGGTGGAAAGCGAATATTTGGCTGGCTTAAGTCATCGGCTGGCTTCTTCGTAGATGAACAAAGGAGTTTTAGGTTGACGTAGTTCGATTTTGGCCGTAGGCTCCATTGTTCATTTCCGAAGAAGCCAGCCAATGATTTAAGCCAGGCAGACAAGCGCTTTATGTATTCTCACCTTTATGGAATTTTATTAATTTTATTTTAATATATGGAAAAATTTTGCCATTACCATTGAAACTACCTCTTCAAATCTGCCATGATATGTACCAGATGAATTATTTTTTTTTTACATAGACCATTTAGTCTTCCTGCTATGTGGATGGGAATGTGTGTTCTATAACATCAATACCCTCCCACTGTTATATCAATGATGACTATGCAAAAAATGCAATCGATTTATGTCAATCATACGTTTACTTGCGTTTTCTGTCAAACAATAAGATTATAGTTATTTAAGGTGTATAGATGGACCCGTGTATAAATTGTTTGTAAACAGTAGATTCTAAATAATCACAACTAGGAGCATTTCTATGCATTGCGACAGAAGTGTTAAGGCGAGAATACATAAAACGCATTTTTTGACTGTCTTCAGTTATGGACTGGATTCTTCATAAAAGGACAAAAGGCTTAAGTCATCGGCTGGCTTCTTCGGGAAAGAAAAAAGGAGCCTAGGTCCACAATCGAACTAAGTCAACTTAAAACTCCTTTGTTCATCTACGAAGAAGACAGCCAAATATGCGCTTTATGTATTTCTACCCATATACTCCCAACTTTAGGGTCATGGTACAATAAAAAAGTAAGGCAGCTCCGCATTTTTTGTAATTTACGTTGTCAAATTTAGCTGCATAGAAAATAGGTTCCCTTCTCTGATTTGTGTGTATACAATGGATTCATGAATGAACATTTTGACAATGGGATGTTGTCAAAGATATAATTAAAAAAAATAAACATATGATTGCATGACTTTACCTTCTCAGTTCCAACATGGATACACACTTAGATGGACATAAATGCCGCCCAGCTGATGTTTGTTTACGTATACATCCTCAACCATGGTACAAAAACGAAGGTAATCCCATGCGATCAAACGATTGCAATTTTTTCTTTTATGTCCCTTCATTGACAATCTCTTCCTTAAATATGGGCGTACGCTGGCAAGAGTTTTTAATTAATTTCAGACAATTTTTTTTTATTTTCACGCCTTTAGCTATAGAAGTCAAGTAAGAATATAATCTAAAACAGAAAACTAAAATATTAGCCTGTTAAGTCATGTAAGACTTAATTATGGAATGGTTGAATGAAACCAAACCAAAGGAAAAGTATGAAGAATATATCACGCCTTATTTGCTACAATACATGTAAAAAATTCTCATATCTCATTTTTAGTCCAAACCAAAGGTATGAAGAAAATATCACGCCTTATTTGCTACAATACATGTAAAAGATTCTCATATCTCATTTTTAGTCGAATTTGCATGAAATGCATTACAAGAATTTGTTAGTGTAAGCTTTCGTTTCAGTACAGAATTCATATAGCAGATATTGTCAAGATTTTGGCAAAATTTATCAGTTGGTAGATCTGCGGATCTGATCCTTAAAATCGGACCTAAAGTAAAACCTCATTTGAGGCCTACAAATAAATTATTTGTCTTTATACGATTAAGTCCAAGAACAGATAAATAAATTTAGTATTCCTGAGATATGGAATGTAAAACTGGTTTTACGTGCCAAGGAACGCCGAAAATTTATTATTTTTGTAAAATCTGCCACTCGTCATACGAAAATATTTTAGATATGAAAAAAGATTTTATTTGAAAAATGACAAGGTCGAGTTCGTTGCCAGATTCAATTTAGCCATGTTTTGTTTCGCCATGTCCACAAAGAAAAGAGAAGCAAAAAATGATGTGACTTAAAAAAAGCTCTTTATACACCTGGACCTTTATGCCAGAAATAGTGTTTTAGATTAAGCCAGGAGATGACTAATGTCAGAAAAAGTTCTTCTATGTATTCTCACCTTTCCTCCTATTTAAAAGCTTAAGGATACATAAAACGCTTTTTTAACTGGCTTAAGTCATCGGCTGGCTTCTTCGGAAAAGAACAAAGGAGCGTATGTCCAAAATCGAACTAATTCAACCTAGAATCACGTTTTTCCTCTACGGAGAAGCCAGCCGATGACTTAAGCCAGCCAGATAAAGCTGGAAATATATAAAGAGCATATTTGGCTGGCTTAAGTCATCGGCTGGCTTCTTCGTAGATGAACAAAGGAGTTTTAGGTTGACTTAGTTCGATTTTGGCCCTAGGCTCCTTTGTTCATTTCCGAAGAAGCCAGCCGATGACTTAAGCCAGCCAAATATGCTCTTTATGTATTTCCAGCTTTATCTGGCTGGCTTAAGTCATCGGCTGGCTTCTTCGGAAATGAACAAAGGAGTTTTAGGTTGACCTAGTTCGATTTTGGCCCTAGGATCCTTTGTTCATTTCCGAAGAAGCCAGCCGATGACTTAAGCTGGGAATACATAAAGCGCTTATTTGGCTGGCTTAAGTCATCGGCTGGCTTCTTCGGAAATGAACAAAGGAGCCTAGGGCCAAAATCGAACTAGGTCAACCTAAAACTCCTTTGTTCATCTACGAAGAAGCCAGCCGATGACTTAAGCCAGCCAAATATGCGCTTTATGTATTTCCAGCCTTAAACCAGTCAGATAAGCGCTTTATGTATTTCCAGCTTTAGGCCAGTCAAATAAGAGTTTTGTGTATTCTCACCTTTAGAATTCAATCACCTTTATACTTTTTTTTCTATTTCAAAACACTATCCCCCACGGTAAGCACAATTGAGCGGAAGCAGTTTTTTCTGTCTTAAGTCATCGGCTAGCTTCTTTGTAGAGGAAATAAAGAGTTTTAGGTTGACTTAGTTCGATTTTGGCCCTATGCTCCTTTGTTCTTTTCCTTTTATATATTCTCACCTTTCGAAATGCAATTGCCTTCAATTTTTTGACCGTCTTTGTTTAAGTTATTTTTTGAAAAAAGATAATCGAATTTCCACTTAAGGAAAACCGACTGTGACACTAAAACGACAAACGCAATTGCGAACAATTAAAAATCTAACTGTAGCTACATATTTTTTTAATTACAATGTTGGAATGTTTGGGTTAAACTGTAATTAAAACGACACTAAAAATAACAGCATGTCATGTTGTCTCGCTTCCTAATCCAAACCAACCAAATGGAATGCGAATCTATAAATATATGGCACTCCTAATATGGCAAATGTTTGTTTTTTAAAATTTTCGATCGATTAACGGAATTTTCGCAAAATTTGTATCGCAAAAAATGTTCATTTTCTATATCCTAATAAAACTATGCCTATTACATCTAACATGGATACCGTCAATAAATTCGGTAAGAGCGAAATGGGGAAGTTGCTAGATGGGAATTTTGAAATATTTTTGGATTTTCTTCTTAGGTTACCATGGAACAATTCGAACAAAGCTTAGATATGATGCGTAATGGCTGTGCACCCAAGTTTAAAAACTCTATAGAGACCCTGGATGCCTTGCGCTTTGGAAGATTTGAACAAATCGATGAGAGTTCAACGGACATAAAGGTGAGGGGAAGGTGAATGCTAGTTTTCAAAGAAGTGTGCTTAGAAATTCTAAATTTTATTACAGTGCTATGCAAAGTGTATTGCTCAGCTGGCGGGAACGGTAAGTAGAGAGGATATGTGACACCGAATTTGTGAAAGGATAATTCATGATATTTTATTGGTTCAAGGAGTTTTTGAAGGTATTTTATTGATAGAAGTCCTTTTATATCTAGATGAACATCCATTGGACTTTTTATAGCCATCAAAAAGATTATAAAGATTAGGAACGCATCTTAAAATTCTTTCATAAGCGGTCTTCTAAACGTAGAAGATCTTTTATAGGTCTCCAATACATAAAAGATGTTCTAGAGGACTTCCATGGCTAGAATACCTTCTAAGAGCTCTCTATAGACAGAATACCTCTTAATGGTCTCCCATGTATCAGAACATCGATTTTAATTCCTTTTTCCAACAATCCGAACCATTTCTTTTCCAGTTAACCAAAAAAGGTGACTTCAGTATACCAAAGGCCACCGCACAAATACCGATTATCTTGCCCAAGGAAATACAGGATAGTGCAAGGGATGCACTCAATTCATGCAAGGAAGTTCGTAAGTAGTAGCTAAGCTAGGATATTGTTGCGTATCACGATATTTGGGTGGTTGTGTTGGGGGGGTCGGTGAAGGGAGTTGCAAGGATATCTACTGTACTATACACAATTTTAAACAGAGATGGTCTGAGTTTTTTTAATTTGTTTAAATGAGGGCTGTCGTTGTTATCTACGGACCCCTCTCACTCTCATTTCTGGATCTAGAACATCCCTTCTGGCGTGTATGGACAAAAGAATACCGACCAGAGGTCCTCTTCCGCCTTGAAGAAGAAGACCTTGCTGAGAGGTCCTCTTCCGCCTAGAAGAAGAAGACCTCGCTGAGAGGTCCTCTTCCGCCTAGAAGAAGAAGACCTCGCTGAGAGGTCCTCTTCCGCCTAGAAGAAGAAGACCTCGTTGAGAGGTCCTCTTCCGCCTAGAAGAAGAAGACTTCGTTGAGAGGTCCTCTTCCGCCTAGAAGAAGATTACTTCGTTGAGAGGTCCTCTTCCGCCTAGAAGAAGAAGACTTCGTTGAGAGGTCCTCTTCCGCCTAGAAGAAGAAGACTTCGTTGAGAGGTCCTCTTCCGCCTAGAAGAAGAAGACTTCGTTGAGAGGTCCTCTTCCGCCTAGAAGAAGAAGACTTCGTTGAGAGGTCCTCTTCCGCCTAGAAGAAAAAGACTTCGTTGAGAGGTCCTCCTCCGCCTAGAAGAAGAAGACCTCGTTGAGAGGTCCTCTTCCGTCTAGAAAAAGACCTCGCAGTGATATCCTTGTGTTTAGAGTATAATTCTGGATCAATCCGTTTTTGTAGCACTCTTCCTCATGGAATTGTAAGGATTTAGACCTTTATGACGTATACAAAGCTCCCAAAACCATCTCTGTTTTTTAACTACAAGTTTACAAAACTAAAAAAGGAGAATATTTACATATTTCCATTTTTTCTTGGTTGCCATTACAGAAAAGGACTACAAGGACTCATGCGATAAGGTGTTCTTTACAACCAAGTGTGTGTATAATTTCAAACCTGAGGTATACAAATTTCCATAATATTTAGCAAAATAAAGATAACTCGTTGGACAGAAAAAAAAAAAACGATTCAGTGTTGACTTACTTTGTTTTTGGGATTTGTTTTTGTTCTGGAAAAAAGAGGGAAAAACAAAGAAAGTAATTAGTTCTCTTCTCAGGCGCCTAACACAAGCCACATATGTAGCTGATACATGGGTGTGGGTGTGTGTGTATGCGTTGACATATCTTCACACAAAATAAGAGTTGTTGTGACCCTTCTGCCGCCCTTTTTACATGCTGTATGTACATACATACCTGTTGCGAATTGCTGGTGTCACCGTTGTCCTGTTGTTTGTTGGCCTCCTCTTCGGCCTTTTCCAAAACTTCATCAATGAACTCGCCCAACACGGCCATTTTACTCGAATCACTTTTGAATTCCATAATACGCGTTTGCAATTGCTCGTGCGATTCATCGCCGCCAGCATGTGCTGCAATTTGGCCATTGCCACCATCTTTCGACTCCAAAACACCACCATCATCGGTGTCGGGAGAGGCAGGTATATCAAAATGAGCTCGCATGGTTTTGGTGTTTAGGTTTTTATTTAAAACTTATATTTTTTCAAATTTCACTGTTTAAAATTGTTTTTAAAATTTTCAGGTTTTTGTTAAATCAAAAATTTTATTATCCTTTGTGCCTTTGCCACAGTAAGCGCAAGGATATTCCGAATCGTGTATCTATAAACTACTGCTGCACAACAATGCCACAGAATATTTTGTGTTCCGCTCTTTGCCAATGGATGGTATCTACTTTCAGTTGGGTCGGAGCGAGTAAGTGTGTGTATTGGTAATGGTTTGCTCCTAAAATGCGTGCACACACACAGATGGTTCTCGGTGTGTGTGTGTGCGTAAAAAGATAATAATAATTTCAACCACCCCCAGCCATAGCACCACCATCAACACTCTCTTTTTTTCATAACAACACCCCGGACCATTCCCACTACAGTCAATGTAAACGGTAAGTAATAGCAACTACCGCCACCATTATCATCATCGCCACCACCACCACCACCCCTATAAACAAGCCACCCACTTGCTGTCAATACTCACAATAGGGGAATGTTTGGCATGTGGCATTATTGGAATTCCTTTGTTATTCGTCATTTTTCATGGCAAAATTTGAAAAGGTCGGACAGACAGCTGATCCAGTCTGGGAAGTAGATAGAAAGTAGCCTCACAAAACCCGTACTACAGTTGGTTTGCCTTGCCAGAATTTGCTCTTGGCAAACCCATAGATGATTATGGGATCTACGTTATTTTAAAAGAGAAGAATGTTAGAGTTTCTATGAAATCTAAGGAACGGGCTTAGATTCCATGATTTTTTTGCTAGATATTCACGTGGCATTGCGAAGGTCTCACGATTTAAGGGTCCCTTAAGATTCTTGCAAAATCAACGAAAAGTCCAGCTTAAAGTTTTAGATTCTTTCCAACATAGTTTGTCTTACGCCTTTTTATACCCTCCACCATAGTATGGAGGGTATATTAAGTTTGTCATTCCGTTTGTAACACCTCGAAATATACATTTAAGACCCCACGAAGTATATACTTATATTCTTGATCGGCATAAAATTTTATGTCGATTTAACGATGTCCGTCCGTCCGTCTGTAGAAATCACTTAAGCTTCCAAACGAAATGAAGTAGGTTGATAAAATTTTACTCAAATGTCTATTATGTCTGCAGGACTTTTGGTATTAAAAATGGGACATGTAGGTCCGCGTTTTGGTATAGCCCCCATATAACGGCACCTCCCGATATTCGGTATTTTGGTGATTTAAGCTACATTATTCACCTGAATTGTTTCAAATTTCGTATTTGAAGTTCGTAATGGATGCTACAGCCTAAGATAGAAAAATGTCTGTGCAGGTCCACATCTTCGTATAGTCCCCATAGAACGGTACCTCCCGATATTCGGTATTTTGATGATTTTAACTACATTATTCACCGGAAATGTTTCAAATATGGTCTTTGAAGTTCATGTAGTATCCATACAGCCTACAACAGAAAATTGTATGTGCAGGTCCACGCCTTCGTATGGCCGTTATATAACGACACCTCCCGATATCCGGTATTTTAATGATTTTAGCTACACTAGTCACCGATTTTCGCATTTGAATATTTTAATGGCTTATGATAAAAGTTGCCTATGCAGGTCCGCGTCGTCCTATAGACCCTAATATAACGGGTACATTCGGTAATTTTAAAATTTAAACATAATTTTTAGCGGATTTTATATTTTATATATTTATATTTCGTTCGTTCGTTCCAAATTTTGAAGGGTATTCAAAGTTAGGCATTTTTACTTGTTAGAACTTAAATGAACGATTTCTTCAGTTTTACAAAAAAAAAAAACGTCATACATCGTACTAAATTTTCACAATCTCAAGATTTTCCTTTTTCGAAAAGAATAATAAGAAAATTTTTACCTTTTGTACTAAAAGATCTTTCCTTTTTGAGTTTACCAAGGATAATTTTAGTAAAACCATTGCACAATGGACCCACTCCGAATTTTTCTGGCCAAAAACTATTTCAACGTCTCCATATGACTTCAATATAAACTTTCAATTTTAGATCTGTAATTTCTCACATTACCAAATTTAGTACCATTTAGTACAATAATAGTCGCATATCCAAAACCACCGCCAAATCTCTATTCCAGGCACCAAGAGGGAACTCAATATCAAATTTCGGAACTCAGCTATATCCCTTTAACCAATACCAAATATAGTACCATTTAACAATTTTTCATACATTTTCCAAAGCGACCGCCAAGTCTCTATTCCAGACAGCAACAGACACCTCAATATCAAATTTGAGGATTCCAGCCCTATTCCTTCACCCAATACCAAATTTACTACCATTTAGTACTTTTCGTACAATTATAGTATATGCAGTGCCAACAGAGATGAAGATACCAACATAGATCTCAATATCAAATTTAAGGACTCCAGCCCTATCCCTTTACCCAATACCAAATTTAGTACCATTCAAAGTCTATTTTCTTCCTGTTGCGGTGTAAGTTCTTGGACTTTTTGGAATTTCAATGGCTTTACCCCGAGCTCATTTTTTCAATATTTGCCAAATGGAATATTGCGATATGTTCAGCTCACGAGCCATTTTTACGACACTGCGGGTTTCGATCAAGTAGCTTCTTTACTTTTCGAACCAATTCTGCTGATGTTGCTGTATTCTTCCATCCACTTCCTTGACGTCGGGCTAGGCTACCAGTATCACGGTAACGAGCGGTGGTACGAGACAAAAAAGATTTATTCACATTTAAATGCTGGAGTGCTCTAACGATAGCCACTTGTGGTTTTCCAGCCAAATATAAAGAAATCACACTATCACGCTTGAATTCCGAATCACGAATAACTTTTTTTCTGGAAAATTCTCATCAAAATGCTTTTGTACGCTTGTAAACAATATAATGAGCTGTCACTGGAATAATTTTAACAGCTCTCGAACGAGTGGCTTAAAAATGACACAGTCTGAAGTTGGTTGCAGTTTTTTCATCTCACCCTGTATATATAAAACTTATTTTCCAGTCTTGCTTCTCATGCCATATTACAAGTTTTTAGCTCTATCCCTTTAAATATCAAATGATACCATTTTAAAACTTTTCATAAGCTTAAATTTTGAATTTACATAAACCCTTTGCTACATCTATTCTGCACTCCATCAATGACTCTCTTTCCAAATGTCATTCCGTTTGTCAAATACAAGGTATTATTTTTTTTGTACATTTTAGTACTTTTTTTACCATTTTAATACGAATTTCCAAAAAAAAAAAAAACCCAGCCTTATCACACTCCTACGCACCAGTCTCGTGCAAAATTTCAAGATTCTATATTCAGAAAATCGAAGATTTTGTGGGTCTTCAAAAATTATTTTATTGAAAACATTGTTTTTTTTAAATGTTGTGTTTATACTTATAAATATTTTTTTAAAAGCCGCAGTTTCTTAAAAATACTGTCCCTGATTACGCTTTCGATTTCCCTTGTATCCATTTTGAGCAATCCTTCCCCCATTTTTGGTCCGGGCACAAGTGTTATTAAATGAATTTTGTATTAGGTTAAGTTAGTTGTGGTAGTGTACGTAGAAAAATCGATATTTACTCACTAACAGCACATGCGTTGTTGTTGTGTGTTTCACAGCGAAACAGTGTCAATTAAACAACAAAGAGAGCTACTCTCGCCATAAAGAGTTGCAAGCCAAGAACACTTGTGATTACCTTTGTTTTGTTTGGTTTTATGACCAGACCAAACAAAGAGTCAATGAAACAGTTGCATTGTCTTCCAATATTACATTTACAATTTATTTAAATGAATACGCCTCAAAAAGAAAAAAATCTTAAAAATCTATAAAGGACAGCAGGATAATGTTACACTTAAACTGCCCACATTACTTATTTCACTCCAAATGGGATAGGTCATCCAATTCCGGTGGTGCACGGATTTCTTCCGTTTCAATTATAATGTTATTCGAATCAACAGATGTCTGAAAATCGAGAAAGAAAGAAACAGAAAAAAATAAAAACAAAAACCATGAATGAAGTGCCAAACGGAAATCATAAATTTGTAATCTGCTCAGATAAGCTGCTATTTATGTGACTCTTGTCACAATCGCGAGAGACACAAGGAGCAAACTACAAATAGGATATGATGGGTGGAGGGTACTTACCCTTTCATTTCTATTTAACAGGCTATTGCTACTGCCAATGACAACCGTATTGCCTACGGTGCTAAAAAGACTACTGGCGGAACTTGTTGTGGGGGCCATTGAACCACCAGCACCGCCACTACCTACACCACCATTTCCACCAATCACCACCGAACCAATTGTCATACTGCTGCTGCTGTTGGTACCATTTGACGATGAATTACTTGCTAATTGCGGCGTTTGTTGCTGGTGCTGTTGTTGCTGTTGAATCTGTTGTTGGGCCTGTACAATAACAAATTTTTGTGGCTGTGGGGTTTGTGGCTGCTGTTGTATTTGAGTTTGTTGTATGCCTCTCAATTGGGGTATGGTGGTGATGACAGGACTTCTGTAAATATGCAAAAGCAAATATAATATAGGATTACATTTTTTTCTGAATGAACAAAAACTATGTGTGCTGGTGTGTGTGTTGGTCGGTAGCATTGAGGTCAAGTGTAATGATTCTATGGAACTTATCTTCAATCTTTTGCCAGCTAGCAAACACAATAAAATTTCAGGATATTAGTTTAGCTGTTATCGTGTTATGTACACTGATTAAACATGAGATGAGGAAATTATTCTAAATACTTGATTGGGTATTGGATGGGAAAGACTTGTAAAACTATAAGAGGGATGCCATTGGGGAAACATATGGATCATAAAGCTAATAAAAAAAAACTCAATTTTAAAATTGAAGGGACTTAAAAAAAGGTTAAAAAATATCAGTCAGTTTTGCCGACAGATGTATAACCTCAGCCAATGTTCGATTGTTTAAATATATTTTGACTTTTGTTATGATTATTCAAATTGTTAACCCTCTATGGAGTAGGTTCCAAGGAAATGGGGCAATATTGTCCATTTCGTATCGCACCTAAGTAAATATGATATAAATATTTCGATGTGCCAGGTTTGGACTATATCGACTGCTTCCTTTACTTTATATGAGATATGTGGCAATTTTTGGAAGATGTTAAAATGTACGTGAGGTACCACATATAGCCGACCGAAGTATTTCATTTTCAAACTTTATTTAATACAGATAAATATATTTGTATGGGCAAAATTACAAGAAAATCGAACATTTCTATCAAATTTTTTGCGAAATCATAAATTCCACATTCATATCAG